GCTTGACACCGGGGCAGTGAGGCCTCGCTGCTCCGCTGATCCCGGTGCCAGGAGGCCTCGCTGCTCCGCTGATCCTGGTTCCAGGAGGCCTTGCGTCTCCGCTGATTCCAGTGCCGGGAGGCCTCTTGGCTCTGCTGATCCTGTGGCGTGAGGCCTTGCGGCTCTGCTCATCCCGGTGCTGGGAGGCATATTACCCTTTTACTATATAGGATAGAGGCCTGGTGCATGGGTGGGGGTCAGCTGGTTTGCCCTGAAGGGTGTCCTGGATCAGGGTGGGGGTCCCGCTTGGGCGCCTGGCCAGCCTGGATGAGCGCCGTTTTCAGGCTGGCGGGTGACTGAAGCTCCCAACCTCTCCTTTTTTTCTTTTTTTTTTATTCTGGGATTTATTTACCTTCTATGGCTGTCACTGGAACTGAGAGCCGGCTTTAGCTCTGAGGCTCGGCTCCAGCTCTGAGACCTCGGCTGCTGAAAGCAGGTATTTGGTTTGTTTGGCTTCTATAATTGAAACACTGTTGCAACTCCAGCTCGCCCGGCTGGCTGAAAGCATGGGGTTTGTTTAGTGTCTATAATTGCAACATTGTTTCTTAGAGTGCAAGCTCAGAGCCCAGCAGCGGCAGGCGGGGAACCTTGGCTTCCTCCTTCACTGGAGCAAGCAAGCCTCCTGTTCACTTCAGCTGCCTGGCTGCTGGCCGCCATCTTGGTTGGCAGTTAATTTGCATATTGCCCTGATTAGCCAATGGGAAGCGTGTCAGAGGTACGGTTAATTACCATGTTTGTCTATTATTAGATAGGATATCTTATATCCAAGGATAATGTTATTCAGCTTTAATTTCTAAATCCAGGTGTATGTACTGGCTAGGTAGAATTCCAGACATTGTTTCCAGATAAAAATGAGCAATATCATTCTAAAGACGGGTACTTTCCTCTTTAGGATAATATCCTTAATGTTGTCTTTAGGATCACCTAAAAAAATGTTAGATATGTATTTAGAACAGCACATATTATGGAAAGAACTTGAAACCCCTAAAATCTAAAAAAAGTTAGATTCTACAACATGACAGTGTTCTTAAGTGGCATAGCACTTATAGTGATGCCTTAGGACTGTACACATTATTTCATACTAGAGGCCTGTTGCACGAAATTTGTGCAAGGGGCTTGGCCCTCGCAGCCGCGGTGGCTTGCCTTGGCCCTCTCCATCCTGGCTTCCTCTGGAAGGTCGTTCAGCTGTCTGGTGTAATTAGCCTATTATGCTTTTATTATTATAGATTATTCATATATGTACATGTGTTCATATTAATACATATGTATGTGTTATTTGATATATAGACTAGATGCCCAGTGCACGAAATTTGTGCAAGAGTAGGCTAGCCTTCCCCTGGCTGCCAGCACCGGCTTCACTCTGGCACCTGGGACCTGGGCTTCCCTTGCAGCCCCAGCTTCATCCTGAAGGTCGTATGAAAGGATGTCTGGAAGGATGTCCGGTCTAATTAGTATATTACGCTTTTATTATTATAGACTAGTCATGTTTCATAGAAGTAGCCTTTAAGATCAAAGCAGCTTCACACGGCCTGTGTAGCTCAGTGGTTGAATGTCGATCTATTAACTCATGGTTTGATTCCCTGTCAGAGCACATGCCTGGGTTGTGGGCTTTTGTGGGATGTGAGGAGGCAGCTGATCTATGATTCTCACATTATTGATGCTTCTATGTCTTTCTCCCTCTCTCTTCCTCTCTGAAATAAATAAAAATATATTAAAAAAATAAAGTTAAAAAAAGATCAAAGCAGCTTTTCTTCAGTTTTGAATTCGGGCTAAACTGGTTCAGAAGGTATTGGCCTGCTTAAATTTGGATCCATCAAGTTACAAACAGGAGGGTTTCCAGACTCTATTTCGTAGTTAAAATCTGGCTAAGGTATTAACCTGCATAGTGATTTTATTTTTAGACTTGGAGGTGTTTCGTCATTTTTCTGAATTTGAAGCAACCTGTTATTTTGAATTGTAATATTTTCAGTTTACCACTTTAAAAAATACTATACTATACTACTTTTCAAATAGTGAATACTCATATTTATGCATTTGTTATCCAGCAAAGTCTTAGGTCTTGTACACTGATGTATTAAAGTAGCCTTACATATTATGTGTTATGGTATTTGTTTTCAAATCGAAGTTTATCATCTGTGATTTATTTGGAATAGTTCCATAGGATAAAATACAGAACTAAGAAATTATTGGGTCTGTATGAGGTTGGCATAAATAAGTGGTAGTTTCCTTATGAATATATTCTTCTTTTGAAAAATATGATACACATGAATATTTCCCAGCTGCTAATGGATATCTTTTTCTTTACAAAATATTTGAAGTAATGGCTGGGTAAAAACTTATTAACAGGAAATGAATAACTGTAAACATAAACCTGTCCTATTAGGTATAACATATTTAGAATTAATTTCTACTTTTTCCCCCCCTTTTTTGCCAACGTAAAGTGGCTAAAAGCCAAGGTAAGAGATATTATTTATCATTTGATACACAGTTTTACCTCTATATTGATAGAGGCTGCAGAGCCACTAAAATTTGAAAACTCTTCCTTCATCTGCCTGCTTTTTCCCCATAGGATTTATATAGATTAAATATACTCAAACTCAATACAAGTAGCTACATTTAGCTTGGATGTGTTAATATATCAAAGATATATTGACATCTGCATTTATATAGGAACATTAATTTTGCTAACATGAATTGCTTTGCTTATTTTTTGATAGTTGCCTTGCTTTTATTGACATAAACAGAAGGTTTCCCAGACATCATATATGACTTTGTTTCTTAGTTTTTAGGATAAAGATGATTTTTTAGATGAATATTTTAGCAAATTGACACTGAGATCTATAGTTTAAATTCATGCGCACATTTTTAAAAATTTTAGGAAACTTCATATTTGAATGCAGATAAGTTTGATCTCTGTGAACATGTTTAACAATAAAATAATATATAAAATCTAATAATTTCACCTGTATTTTGCCATAGATTGGTATGAATAATAGAAAAAGCCAAGTGCAATTGGTTTCTTGACTTTTTAAAATGTAGAACCAAAGTCTGTTGTTAAAACTGTCTGGGAATCCTTACTTCACATTCTGATATTAAAAATAATAACTTAGTATCAAAACACCAAGAGAACAATTTGATATAAAAATAAAAGCTCTTTTTCCTGCATTATAGCATGGAAATAACCAGCCTGCAAGAACTGGCACACTGTCGAGAACAAATCCTCCTACTCAGAAACCACCAAGTCCTCCCATGTCAGGCCGGGGAACGTTGGGGTAAGAATCCAAGTAAATTTTACAAGAAGATTCATATAGTAAAGGAAAAGATGATTCTGTGACTTAAGTAAATGTAGGGGTTCTTGCTATGGACCCCTCTCAGTGTGACACTACCTTTTACAAATTCATTTTGGTGCTTATTTCCATGAGCAGAATCCAAAATGAATCTACTTGTTTTATAATATTCTCTTCTATGGAAGTCTGTACTAGACAAGTTCTTTTGTATATGTAGAAATGTGCATTATTTATTTATCTTTTTAATTCCTTTAAAAAAAAGAGAGAGCAATTTGACTTAAGTTTATTTCAAATGAAATGACCAGTGTATTCATTCTATGTGATGCTTTCACAAGTATTTACAATATTTATATTACAGAACTTTGAATAAGTGGTCTATTTTGTATAGTTTGGCTTGGTGACCTGCAGCTTTTCTGTTTCCTCTATTACTTTCTACCTAAGATTTAGAGGCTCTTTACCTGGAATATTTCTAACGGTGCTTGTGCTAGGTAATCTTAGGGCCCTTCATATTTTTTATTTTATTTATTTTTTTAATCTTTATTGTTGAAAGTATTACATAGATCCTCTTTTTTCCCCCCGTTAACCTCTTCCTGCCCGCTCCCGTCCCTTGCCAGGCCCTCACCACACCATTGTCTGTGTCCATAGGTTTTGCATACTTCATACTTGAGTAGCTTTGTGAGAAGGCCAGTTGAGGAGCAAAAAAGATAACCATTGGTGGTGTCTTCCTTCTCAGTTCTTTGTGCAATAAAATTTGTGAATATTTGGTAGGACACTTCTGAAAGATTGTTCACCTTATTTTATTTATTTTTTTAATCTTTATTGTTGAAAGTATTACATAGATCCTCTTTTCTCCCCCCGTTAACCTCTTCCTGCCCGCTCCCGTCCCTTGCCAGGCCCTCACCACACCATTGTCTGTGTCCATAGGTTTTGCATACTTCATACTTGAGTAGCTTTGTGAGAAGGCCAGTTGAGGAGCAAAAAAGATAACCATTGGTGGTGTCTTCCTTCTCAGTTCTTTGTGCAATAAAATTTGTGAATATTTGGTAGGACACTTCTGAAAGATTGTTCACCTTAACATAGAAAATAATATATTAGAGCTCTTTTTTTTTTTAGTGGAGGGCTGGGAAATAATTATTTCATAGTAATAGGGATCAACAATCAGCCTTTTTTAAATAGACTCTTGGTTTTTATTTTCATTCTGTAAACTCCTTACCCCTGCAAAAAATACATGAAGTTATTAAATAGAAAAGTTAAAATCATTTATTGAAAAATGAATGGTATTACATCTAGAATCAGAATGTGCTATACTTGTCCATTGTCTATAAATTTCCATAATGAGGTAGGAATAAATTGCAGAGGAGATATTTAGTTTTCATAATGTACAAGGACAGTGGCTTATGGGTGACTGAACTGGGAATAATGTATATGTCAAAGTTTGATATTATTGAGCATTTCAAAAATTATAACCATTATATTTAGAAGTAGGATTAATACTTTTAAATTACCCTTTCCTATGTTTTTCCTAAAAAAGGTAACACATTTTAGTTTTTGTGAAAAGTAACAAAAATTCATTTACTTCAATTAAGAATTTTTAAAAATAACCTTTATTATTAAAAATGTTTTTAAAACTTGTTTTCTAATTCTGGCTGAGTAGCTCACTCAGTTGGTTTGAACGTTGTCCCAATATGCCCAAGTTATGGGTTTGATCTGTCAGGGCATATACAAGAGGCAACCAATGCATAAATAACAGGTTGACTTTTTTTCTTTCTCTCTCATCAATAAATTTAAAAAAACACACACAATAAAACACTTGTCTTCTACTTGGTTACAAAGGGACAATCACATTTGGGGGGAAATGCCATTTTATCTTATTCATTATTCCTTTCTTTGACACTTCTTTAGACGGAATACGCCTTACAAAACCCTGGAACCTGTTAAACCTCCAACAGTTCCTAATGACTATATGACCCGTCCTGCTAGGCTTGGAAGTCAGCATAGCCCAGGCAGGACAGCTTCTTTAAACCAGAGACCGAGGACACACAGGTAATCCTTCAGGTTGAGCCTTTGACCATTTGCAAGTTGGGATTATTAACTGGTCACAAACCCTATACAGTTGCTGAGTAAAGTACTATACTGTTAACACAGAGTATAAAAGTTGAGGTAATAATATTGTATAAGTTTCTGTTATAACTTCTGTTTTTTTTTTAGATTTTTAAATATATATTTATACTATAAGCAGATTGCTACTATTTCTTCCTTTTGACAGAGGTACAGATATGTATTTGGACATAAGCTAACGAATGTTTTTTAAAACAGTCTTTTAAAAAAGGTTAAGGTAACTACTCTTAAATATAGGGTGTCCCAAAACAATGAAAATGTATACAAACTTAACAGCTGATAGCTCCATTGATGTTTATTTCTTTTCAGATTTAACCTATTGGAATTAGTATTATTCAGAATGTGTGTACATTTTTCGAGGGCATTCTGTATTTTGGGATAATAGGTTAAATATCAGGAATTATACAATGTGATTTAAGCTTTAAGAGGTTGGAAAAAGGAAGACCTAGCTTAGATCCGAGAAAGAATTAATAGAGTTGGTATACTCTAGAGCAGCGGTTGCCAACCGGTGGTCCGTGAAGTCCGAAAGGTTGGTGACTGCCGGTTTAAGGAAACCTTTGGAGCAGGTTGGCGACCGCTGCTCTAGAATATGTTATTGTATGTACTGTTTTTTAAAATTTCTAGAAATCAACTGCCCAGTGGGTTTTTAAAAACTTGGTTTGGGAACATAACATAAATTTAGAAAAGTATTATTAAGTATGTAACTTAATGGGTTAAGACAATTTGAACACATTGGTGTAACCATCATCCAAGTCAGAAAATGGAACATTACCAACAATCCAAAAGTCCCCCTTAGACCCTTTCCTAACTATCACCTCTACCTTCTCCCCCCAGAAGTAGCCACTCCATTTTTGGGCACTTTATAAAGCCAGACAGATACATTGTATAGTTTACTTTATTTTATTCTTTAATTTTACCTCCCACTTAACTTGGGGAAGAACCTCTCCTTACCTTGACTTTTGGGTTGGTGTATTAGAGGTAAAACCTAGCAGAATTGCCCAGCCAGCATGGCTCAGTGGTTGAGCATTGACCTATGAACCAGGAGATTGCGGTTCGATTCCTGTTTGGGGCACATCCCTGGGTTGGGGGTTCAGTTCCCATTGTGGGGCGTGCGAGAGGCAGCCAATCAATAGTTCTCTCTTGTCATTGATGTTTCTGTCTCTCTCCCTCTCCCTTCCTCTCTGAAATCAGTAATAATAATTTAAAAAACTTAGCAGAATCATTTTTTGGGTTTCAACTAAAGAGGGTATCTGGCTCTTAGATTCTATGTAATTGACATTTGTTGTTATTGCTGCTGTTAGTAAATAAACGCTTACATTGGTATATGCAGTTACTCTATCAGGTCAAGTTCAGTGAGTACCACAAGTGTTCTTTTTTATGTTTGTTATTGAATTTATATTAAAACATGGTTTTTCTCTATCGTTTAGTTATATTCAGCAACCAGTTATTAAGAGTTACTTCATTAGATGTGAGGGATATACCAATATTATATAGTTCTTTTTTTCAGAAGCGCATTCTGTTAAAACAGGGATCAACAAACTTTTATAAAGGGCCAGATTGTCAATATTTCTGGGATTTGTCTCCATTACAGTTACATAGCTCCCCATTGTAGTATGAATGCAGTCATGGATAGCATGTAAATGTTCGAGTGAGCATGCATTCCAATAATATTTCATATATTTTAGTGAAATCTCACTTTCATGTAATTTTAATGTGTTATAAATATTCATCTTTTGATTTTTTTTTCAGCTACTGAAAAATATAAAAAACGTTCTTAGCTCATAGGTCATAAAAATCAGATCATGAGTCAGGTTTGGCTTATGTGCTGTAATTTGCCAACCCCCATGTTAGAAAAAAGCCAGTAATTGTAGAAGAGAATAATTAGTGGGGAAATATTCATGTCTGTGATGTATTGGTGTTACAAAGCAGTGTACCTGGCTTGGAGTTAAGGGAGTTCTTCACATTGAAGCTATTTTTGTAATAGAAATAGCTTTCTTTGTTTTTCTTTCATTAACATGTACTGATGTAATTATAGAATGATCACATTGGAGAAAAACATTTTTTATCTAGGCAGTACAAGTCTGCCCTGTTGATTTTTTGGGGGGCCTATTAGGCGAATGATGTTGGTTTTAAAGTATAATACGGAGCCTAAGACTACAAATGCACATATGTACATTTGCATACATGTACATACACACATTGCTTACTAAAAGTGATTATATAGTGTGAGGTCTTATACCTAAAGGGATAGTAAATCTATAGGAATTCGAAAAGTAGGGAATTGGTTAAAGTTGAACAGTAATGACTATTCTAGAATGCCTCACACTGAAATCTCACTGCTGCCTTTTTTGTTGTTTTGCTCATTTTCCAGAAAATACTCTAGTTTAGCACCATTTTTTGAGATGAGAGGTTTTTATACTATTTCCAGACTAAAATCGGTTAAACTTTTAATTTCCATAGCATCTGTACATTTTTAAAAAAAGAATAGTTTATTGATTTCTTTTTTAGAAAGAGAGGGAGAGGGAGGTGAAATATCAATCAGCTGCCTCCTGCACACCGCCTACTGGGGATTGAGCCTGAAACACAGGCATGTGCCCTGACCCAGAATCCAACTGGCAACCCTTTGGTGTACAGGATGACACCCAGCCAACTGAGCTATATTGGCCAGAGCAGCATCTTGTTCATTTTCTTTTGTGGCATCTGTCACGCTGTTTGTTTATTTTTAAATTGATTTCAGGGAGAGGAAGAGAGAGATAGAAACATCAATGATGAGAGAGATACATTGATTGGCTGCTTCCTACACGCTCCGTACCAGAGATTGAGCCCACAACCTGGGCATTTGCGCTGACCGGGAATCAGAATTTGAGCTCCTGGTTCATAGGTCGATGCTCAACCACTGAACCAAATCAGCCAGGCTTTCACACTGTTTTTTAATGTCTATTTTTTCATTCTTAACTGTGAGCTCCATGACACCATGGTTCATGTCTGCCTTATTTACTACTATTCATAGCAGGTTTTAAATAAATCCTTGTTGGCTTATTGTATATAAGATTTTCATTTCTCAATACGATGATCTCTTCTGATAGTTCTGAGTACTATATTAAGGTTATATTGGTTTCCAATAGATTGAGTAGAGTGAAACACAAGAATCACAGTGGTTAGAATGTCAGTCCACATAGTGAAGGGTCTTGGGTTCGATTTCCAGTCAAGGGCATGTACCTGGGTTGCAGGCTCAATTCCAGGCCCTATTCAAGGCGAGTGTGGGAGGCAACCAATCATTATCTCTTTCACATCTCTCTCTCTCTCTTTCTCTCGCCCCTCCCCTCCCCTTTTTTTCCTTCCCCTTTTGCCTCCCTCCTCTTTCTCCTCTCTCCCTCCCTCTCTTCTACTCTTTATAAAAATCAGTGGAAAGAATATCCTTGGGTGAGGATTAACAACAAAATTTTGTATTGAACAGTTTCTAAAATTTTTTTTTACATATCTATATATATAAAAGCCTAAGCGACCATTACTACTGAATGACCGGAACAGCCGGATGATGAGTCGCTATGACATGCACTGGCTGCCCCCTGGTGGTCAGTGCGCTCCCATAGCCAACCACCCGTGGTACCCTCCCCCTGGCTAGCCAACCTCCTGCAGTACCTCCCGTCCTTCCTCCCTCCCCCGCCAGGTGGCCCCCATTGGCTCCTAGTGCTAAACCATTCCTAAACTACCTGCTTCTGGGTCAGGGTTTCATACATAGCAGAGCAGCTCCCTCACTGCAATCTATTGAAAGTCAACCCTCGACACAAGGGTTTGTCTCACTCCCATCCTCTCCCTTCCTTGGGGGCCGCCGGCCTGCTATGGTGGTGGTGTGGCAGCAAGGGGGCCAGTCAGGGAACCGTGCAGTGGCGGGGTGCTGATGACGGTGGCATCGGCGGCATCCGTTACTTCCACACCTGGCTTGGCAACTATTGTCTCCTCTTCCTTCAGGCCCTGGACTGGGATGGGGAACTGGGGGTGGGTGGTGGTGGACACGGCCCCTTTCCCAGGGGCGCCCAGGGCTAGCTCCCACCTTGGGGCCAGCGGCCAGCCTCCTGTGGTCCCTCCCCTGGCAGGCCCTGATCCACCTGGCCCCAATCGGCACAGTCCCTATCGGCCCTGATTGCTGGTCAGGCCTAGGGACCCCAGCCGTGCATGAATTTGTGCACCGGGCCTCTAGTATATCATAAAAGGGAGTAATTAGTGGCTTTGAGTTGATTATTATTATTTTGGGCGGTTAAATCACTAGAATTCCTTTTTTCACAATTTTTTCTTTTCTTTCCAGTGGAAGTAGTGGGGGAAGTGGAAGTCGAGAGAACAGTGGAAGCAGCAGTATTGGCATTCCCATTGCCGTGCCTACACCTTCACCACCCACTATTGGATCAGGTATATTATTTATTAATCTATTTTAATATGTGGTAGTACTTATGAGCTTGGTTATGGAAGCCTGAAATAATTTAGTTATATTAGATCAAATTATTTATTTGTGTGATTGTTGCTAGAACATAAACACAACAAATTTAAGAACATTTTGGATTAGTTTTTACACAATCTTAAGTGTGTTTTTTTGTCTGTTTTACCAGCTCTTTCTTCTTACATATAAAGCATATTGGACAGCTTTATTAAATAATTTTTTGGCCATTTTACTTTAAAAAGAGTTGCCGTGGGCATAGTCAAGAAAGTTTATTATTTGAGGAACAAGCTAATATTCTTGTTTCTCCAACCAAAGGATTAGTGACTATATTGTGAATTATGTATCAGTAAGTTTTGATGTTGCCTTTTAGGCTAGTATCTCAACTTGTGTTAATTTATTTTGTGACTTTACTATATTTATGTATGATATTCAACATACTTATTTCAGTAAAATACCATGAGTAATAAATGGGATTAAAAAAGGAAAAGTTCTTTTACTTTTTAGATTACATAAATGTTTAAGAAATTATTGCAAAGCATTAAATTAGTCCCTTGATTTTTTAGTCAATGCAATGAAGACTTTGTAGGAAAATTCTTATTTATTTGAATATGCTTTACATATGGGAGTGTGTGTCTCTCTTTTTTTCTTCTTACCCAAACATTTTACTTTCTTACTGTTTCAGAATGTTTAGTTCTCTTTCTTGTACTCTGACCTGCATTATAAACTATCTTATTAGAAAACGTTTCTGTCCCTCCTCCTCCTGGAGCTCCAGCCCACCTCTTCTCCCAGTGAGCACTGTGCTAGGTGAGACTGCACAGCCATTGGAGCGATTTAACTTAACTCTGCATAATTCATAACAAACTCCTCTGTTAGACTACTAGCCTTTAAAGTTATTAGGTTATAAGTGGTAATGCAAAGGTTAAAGTGTTAAATCTAATTTGCACTAATTTCTTCTGGTGAAAGGCCTCTGAAGTTACATACAAAACAAATATAAAATAACTCTCTGTAATATAAAATGTTTCTATGCTTAGCTTATATCCAATTTAATGTGGTTTGTATTTGTTGTTTGTTTAGATTTTTCTAGAGAAATTATAGCAGTGATTGTTCAAAACCATTTTTTAAATTAGTAATGTAATCTTTTAAAAAATGAAACTTTATTTGGAACTCCCTGGTATATACAACAGTCAAAGTACTAGAGTGAAGGTGGAGGACAGGAGGAAGAAAAATGAAAAGAAATAGATGTATGGGATAGGGTGCTCGAGACTTTCCTGTGAATCACAATTTGAAAAATACTGATATAGTCCAGTACTTAAGGCATCTGAGGATGCCATGAAACATTTTTTTTCAGTAAAATACATTTAAATTGTTCCCAAGTTGAGGGTGACTAGATAGAGCATATAAGGAATTCCAAATATAGACTCCATATAAAACCAATAGGCCTAGAAATACACATTATCAGTAATCTGGGTAGAAATGTATAATGACGTGTTTCAAATAATGAGAGCTATGTTTCATATTGTGAAATAAAGCCATCTAGTAGCATCTTTCAAAACATTTGCACTTGTACTCAAAGGAAAAGGGGCAACAGGAGGTAATATGAAGATCCCAATAGAAACTGTTTACAGAAAGTTTGTATGAAAAAAAAATTCCCTCAACCTGATTGATAATCAAGAAAATGAAAATTAAAACCACAGTGACATACTGTTTCTTATCTATCAGGTAGTTAAAAATGAAGAAGTCCCCTAGTACCAAATGTTGGTGAGGATGTGCAGTAACAAGAAAAAGTACATTGCTGGTCAGAATTTATTAGTTGATACACTCACTGGGGAAAGTAGTTTGTTAGCTAGTCAAGTTGAACGGGTTTTTACCTTAGATTTATCAATTTCATTTCATATTTACCCTAGAGTATTGGTTCTCAAAATATGATTATGGAACTTCTGAGAATTGCCAAGATTCTTTCATGGAGTTTTTGAGGTCAGAACTATATTCATAAGATTTATTTGCCCTTTTCATTCTCATTCTGGTACTGTGGACTTTTCCAGAGGCTAGATAACATATGATAAAATCATTACTTTGACAGCTAACGGAATGTGTATTTGTGTATTCATGTGTTTAAAGACATATCAGTTTTAATTTCTATTACTTTTATTATAACCCATCTCAACCAAGCTTTTTGAGGTTCTTTAATTTTAAAGAATGAAGCCTAAGACCATGAAGTTTAAAACCACTGTCCTAGAGCAGTGGCTTTCAGAGTGTGACACCCAGAATAACAGCATCATCACTGGGGAAATTTGTTAGAAATGTGAATTTTCAGGTCCCATGTAGACTTACTTAGTCAGAAACTCTGAGGACTGGAGCCCAGCAATCTGTATTATAACAAGCTTTCAGGGTGCAATTCTGATCAGTGCTCAAGTTTGAGAACCACTGTTCTAGAAAAATTCAAGAACCGTATTTAGGAATGCTCATAGTAGCGATATTAAGAATAGCAAAACTCTGGATGTAACCAAAATGTCGAGTAATAGAATGGATAAATTGTGGGATGTTTACATGCGAATGTAGCTATAAGAATTAATATATTGATATACTTATCAACATGGGTGAATTTTAAAAAAATATCAAAGGAAAAGAGCAAGCCAACAGAATACATAATTATTTTATTATAAATATTTATAAATTTGCAAAATATCTGTATATTGTTTAAGATTCTATATCTGAGATTTTTTTTTAAGCTATATATAGTAAAGAAATAGAATATTTAACACATACCTTTTGGAGTTGTGGATCCAGAGGGGGCATACAGGAAACTCCAGTGATACTAGTAATATTCTATTTCTTGAAGCAGGGTATTTATCTTATTTTATTAAAAAAATTATATATGTATTTATAAAATAGTTATATATAATCATTACAAATATTATATAACATATTAGCATATAACCATTTGCATTTATGTATATGTATAATTTATATAACATAGCTATATATATATGTATATATA